TTACACACATTTTTGAAGTTATACTTCTATAAGCACGGTCGGCGTTGGAAATTTGCATGAGAGTGAATCTGTGAAACAATTACATATGTAAGATAATGAGTAAGAGAGAGACAGAAGATATATTTTCTCTCTCTTCCTTTCTCGAGAATAAAAATGTTTCTTTTGTATATATATTTAATATTATAAAAAGAAAAGAAATTTAATCTTTGCAGATAAGTTAAATAGTAAACTCTTAAATATTGGGGAAATCTGCAAGAAAAACTCTAATATGTATCAATTGTTTCGCCTAACGTTTTCGCCAAAGAGAATTAATTTGGCTTCTTCAGGACTGAAAGAGAATAAATTATAATTAGCTACCATATATTATCTAATAAAAAACATTTACCTTACCGTAAATTTTAGAAATGTCGAGTTATGATGTTAAAAAACTTTAGCTAGTAACAACATAGTAGTGTTTTTTTGTTACTATGTGCAAAAAAGTTATTTTTGTTAACGTTGGAAATGTATGGTAGCTTTGAACTTAAAACGCAAAGGTTTACCCAAGGTTAATCGAAAAACCCAATGTAACTACATTTAAAGGAAGTAATTCTTTGAATTGTCGGCAATAACTAAATTTTTGATTGTTATAAAGTTTGAATGTGAGGTTCTGTTTTCATAGAAAGCAAGCGCTGACAATTACAAGTAGTTTTTTTTGAATATTTATGTCGTTAAGGTTCATTGGTAAAACCGATGAAGTTAGATCCCAGTCTGGGAGATATTAGTTTAGAATTTTCTTAATTGAAATTCTTTTTTAATTAGTATATTGTTCATGTATTATTATAATAATATCTTATTGAGATGTATCTAAGAAAAGCAAGGGAATATTATCTTTTTTAGTTAATGAAAATTAGTATTAAAGTAGGTTAGTTGTTAATAGATATATCAGTCAAGTTAGTTATCTGTGATGTTGTATTGTTCTTGGTATCTGATTTAAGTAAGAAGTGGTATATATCGCTTAGATTCTTAATGTCACTCTTAACATTGATGGAAAAATATTTAAGAGTTTACTATTTAATATTATATATATATATATATATAGTATATATATATATATATATTATATATATATATATATATATTATATATTATATATATATTATATATAATATAATATGTATTAATATTATTATTTATGTGATATGTTTTGTACTATTTATTAAACGTTAATAATTATTTTAGGCTTTTGTATTTCAAAATAATCACTGTTTGGCCGAGGATTGTCAATTTTGAAATCCGTTATTATCATGTCTAATTGCGCTTTTACGTGTTTGGTTCATACGCTGGTAGAGTTGAGTTCGAATCCCAATATGAATTTCCTTTTGAATTGAATTTTTGAAATTTTTAAAAACCTCACGTTAATCTTATTAAATATATGTAATATACGCAAAAATGCTAAATTTTAAAATAAAATGAAAATTTACAACATAATCCGAGTTAATGGTTTTTTTATTTTTATCTTCGTAAAGTAAGTTATGTATATTGGCAGTTTTAAATACTTATGAATATTGCATTTTAATTTGAATTGTATTATTATATTGAATTATGTTGCAGTGTATTGTATTGTAATTTTTATATTAATAACAAAATAAACAATGAATTTTACTGCAGAGTATGTGTAAAAAATTTTTTTGCAAATGAAATCGTAGGCTTCCACGGCCAGAGTCAGAATTATAGTTTATTCGTCTTCCGGGTTTGGACCGTGTTCATTTGTGAGTGACCCAAAAGTGGGTTCATCTCGACGTTTCGCTACAATTGTATGTAGCTTCTTCAGGAGAACAAAGAAAAAGAAAAAAGAAAACATCTGTTCTTTTGTTTTCTTTTTTCTTTTTTCTTTTTCTTTGTTCTCCTAAAGAAGCTACATACAATTGTAGCGAAACGTCGAGATGAACCCACTTTTGGGTCACTCACAAATGACACGGTCCAAACCCGGAAGACGAATAAACTATAATTTTTTTGCATTCAACTCCTTTTATACATATATGAAAATAAAAATATATATTTTCGATAAAATATTGATATAATCTTTCTCCCATATAATTTTGTAACGGCAAACGTGTGTATAGAAGTATAACTTCTACCGGCAGTCCCACTGGACTGCCACACCCGTTTTTTTTCTTTCTGATAGGGGTAGGTTTCAATTTCAATTTTATTCAGCATTATTTCGCGGGCGTAACTGACATTTAAACGTTGTTTCTGAAACAACGGCTTATTGTACACAAAAAGTGCTAAATTATCTCAGCTATCATTAATAAAATAAATTAATCCCAAAAATGAATGAAACAAGGACGCCGCTGGGATTGTTAAATTGTTCAACAGTTTAAACGGTGCCAGATTTCGTTTTTGAGAGTGAGTCGCCCTCTCCGATATATTGTTGGATGATAGGCACTTTATTATATAATACCAACTTCAGACAAAACAAATGAAATAAAACAATAATTATCACATCTTTAAGATGTATGTCGCTGATAACATAAACTTGATATCAAATGTTTGTACAACAAAAAAACTGCATATAAATGCTTACAAATGATGCATAATCAGTTGCATACATAAACAACATGCTATATATGACGTTGCTGTTTATTATTTATCTACAATAGAGCATTCGCAAGGATTTGGTTTTAAATAATTATCATTATGTACAATCAATAAAGGTTTTAATGATATAGACGCTGTTATCCTACCGCAATGATAATAAAATTGTTGGCTAGTGCTGTAGTTGTTGTGTATTTTTTATACGAAGGTTCTCACACAATTCGGTGTGAGACAAGCATTGGCGATTTTGCACGATTATGGTGTAAATGTTGTAGATTTTGCACGAATTCTCATTCGATTTATAATTAACACAGATACAATACACAGCATTAAAAAAAAGAATTTTTACAAAAGCAAGGGAAAGATACGAAGAAATTGATCTGCAGTCAAAGAAGGATAGTCACACTAAGCTATTAATAATTGTAGAATAGATTCAAGATATAGGCAACTAATACATATTATATATGAAAATGCAACTATGATAGTACAATTAGACGAAAATACAAATCCCATCCCCATTAAGAGAGGAGTGAGACAAGGAGACGTAATATCGCCAAAGCTTTCTCAACCTAGCCCTAGAAGACGTCTTCAAAACTACAAATTGGTCAACCTATGGCAATAACGTTAATGGCAACAAGTTAAACCGCCTCAGATTCGCTGACGACATAGTGATTATAGCGAGCACATTCGAGGAACTGCAAATTATGTTGGGGGAACTAGCAGCCAGCTCCCAATACGTCGGCCTAAAAATGAATATGAAAAAACAAAAATAATGACAAACATAGATGACCCTGATAAAGCAAATAAGGCGAAGAAAATGGAGATGGCTGGGCCACACACTCCGTAGACCGCCAAATGACATTGCCAGGACAGCGCTGGATTGGAATCCCCAAGGCCGACGGAAAGTAGGCAGACCTAAGGGAACTTGGAGAAGGACAGTACTGGACGAAGGGAGAAAAATGGGAAAATCCTGGCTTGAAATCAAAGCACTAGCCAGAAATAGAGTTCGCTGGAGACACTTTGTGGAAGTCCTATGTTCCTCTTAGGAATCTTGGGACTATATATATAGATGACCCTAGACGTATAACTATAAATGGCAGTGAGATAGAACAAGTCCAGAAATATATTTACCTAGGCCAAATTCTGAAATCTGACAAAGAGAACCAAAGCGCGGAAATTACTAGAAGAGCAAGACTAGCATGGGCAGGATTTGGAAAACTTAGTGGGATACTTAAGAACCGCAAAATAGCCCAACACTTGAGGAGCAAAGAGTTCAACCAATGCGTCCCTAACCAAGGCAAACATGAATAAACTAGCCACAATAGAAAGAACAATGGAAAGAGCAATGTTAGGTATACGACTGTCAGATAAAAAGAGGAACGACTGGGTAAGATCAAAAATAAAAGTCGAGGACATAACAACAAAAATTGCCAAACTTAAATGGAGCTTGGCGGGTCACACTGCTAGACAAAAAGACCAACGTTGGAATACAACATTGAAGACCTTACGAAAGTAAACGACCAAGAGGAAGACCACAGATGAGATGGGTTGATGACATTAAAATAATAGCCGGAATAAATTGGAAATATGTTGCTCAGTATAGAGACATATGGAAGGAGTTGGGAGAGGCCTATGTCCAAACATGGACGACAGAAGGCTAAGAAGATTTCATTGGTTACCTATGAGACAGAAAATAAAAAAAAATTAACTTTTTTTCAACGCTGAAATATCCATTATCCAAAAATGTTCAAACTAAAAATTAAATAACTCAAAACTAAAGATTAAATAATTTCACAAATTTATAAACACTGTGCAACTATGGCTGAAAAATCTGCAAAAATGTAATGAAATGTATATCTGAATCTGAAGAATAATATGAGGTTATGATTTAATACCAAACCTCGATGTAAGCGCCCCTTACGGATATTTTTTTAATTGACTTATGGCATGTGATCTATCCCCATCCACCCATGATCTTCTTTGAAAACAGTAGTTCAATGCTTAAGGTTAGAATGCGATGGCTTTTAAGGCCCTTCAGTGGAATTTTGTGCTTGCTAAACACATTGAAACATATACATATTTGGTAATTTCTTCTTATAGTGTTAGTTTTAGAAGCAGTTTTCCTTTTTTACAAGGTACATCTATGCCAAAAAAATTGTGTGGATACTACATGAATAACGGTCATATTTGTAATAAAAGAAGTATGAGCAAGCGACAAAGGACACACTCTAGGCAGGCTTGACGGTAGGCAAATGCACTGCTAGAAAAGAACATGCTGACCTTGACATTCCACAAGAGCAATATATTCAAAATTGCATGTATACTTTGTTAATTGAGGCATTTTGAAACTGAAATATACAAAACTTTCCAATAATCAACGCTAATTATAGAACTTAAACATTATTAGAAAGCTATATAATACTTACGAAATGTTATCTTTATTCGTTCTGACGTTTTCGGGAAAGCAGTACCCGTCATTGACCTCCTCGTCCTCCAATTTGATGTCCACCTTTTGTCGTTTGGCTTCGGCTCGTTCGCCGGTCCACGTCAGTCGTTCGGTGCCCAACCGATGCTGATGCGGGTCCATCTGATGGTCACCGAAACTATGTAAAGGCAAATTTCAATTATTAGGCCTATAATCAAAATTAGGTACATGCAGACAGACTTTATCACAAGTTTGAAACTACAACTATGACTAAAAACGAAGAATCCACCAGGCATTGGTGTGTTCAATAAAATATTTTTTAACTATTTGTATCGAATCGGAGATATGCTTGTGTTTAATTTGAAAATAGTTTTATTCAAATTAAATATTAATTAAGACATTAAGGATTAAATCAAAAATAGAAGTGCATCATTAACAAATGTTTGTTTATGAGACAGGTACCGCAACCGCAAACTTGCTTTAAGTCAACATTTATAGTATATTAGTGCAAAACAGCGTACTGCCCCTAATACTATTAGTAAACCATTCCTAAAAATAATCTTTCTCCTTCTTTCTGTGTCATGCTTTTACCAAGTGAAGACCAGCCTTTTATTTAATAAAATTAATAATTTAATAATTTGGATTAAAATTGTGTTATAGATAGTAGATAATAGTTAAAATACAAAAATAATATGTAAATTAATTATTTAAAATGGCTATAGTTTATTTTTATGAACGAGAGAGTAATTAGCATAATTTTAACTGGTACCTCCGACCACTCCATGGGCGTGCTCAAGATTAATTGAAAAATTACTTTGAATAATTGTAAAAAATAAATGAATTATTTCAGTGTTATAAAGTGTTATGTGTATGTAAACAAAAGTGACCTCTTTTATCACACACTATATTAGAACTGACTGGCCTACATTAAAAGGGTTTTAAAAAATTCACTTTTTTTTTAATTTTAAAAATTACAAAAGAAAAGAGTTTTTAAAAGTCTAGGTATGTTAAATAGATGAATAAAAATATTAATATAAAACTTACAGCTACTTGTTACAAATCCAAATCAGATTCAGAAGATGAACTTTCAGAACCAAGATTTATAATAACTGGCTCGATCATTTTATCAGTAATATTGTCCAGCTTCCACATTTTTTTCCTCTTCTTTAATAGTGTGATTTACTGCCTTTTCCCAGTTTTCAGGTTTTACATTATTTACGGCCTCCAAAAACAACTGTTTAACATCATGAATTTTAAAAGTGGTATTTTTCTTGAAACTTCACTCTTTATCTGTGCCCATACCAGTTCAATCGGGTTTAATTCACAATGATATGGTGGGGATCTAAGTACTGTCATTCCACGATTTTTGGCAATTTCATCAATTTCGTATTTTTTAAATTTTTCTTTATGAAGGGCACACAACGAATAAAGTTCCTTTCTTATAGATCCGGGATGGTACGTAATATTTTTTGAACTCAGCCAATTCTGCAAGTCTTTTTTTAACCACTTGGTTGTGGGCAGTCCTTCTATAAGTCTGGAGTGATAACTTGCATTATCCATTACTATTACACAGTTCTTAGGAAGAGATCTATCATTTGTTCGAACCATTCTTGAAAGACATCAGCGTTCATGTCTTCATGGTAGTCACCGGTACGAGTTGATTCAAAAGTTAATAAACCACCTTCAACAAAACCGTCTGAACTGCCAATGTGTACTATTATCAGCCTGCGTCCCTTTCCTGATGGTGGGTTTAAACCAGTAGATAAGTTATTTACAAAAGCGTGCCTTTGACTTGTAACAGTTTCATCCTGCCAAAATTTATTTGGTGTATGACCCTCGTTGATCCATGTTTCATCAAGATAAAATATTTTTCTTTTTTGGTTTTCTCATTTCCTTTATGGTTCTTAGAAAATGTCTTCTCCATATGACAATATCGCTTCTTTCTAATAAAATAGACTTTCTGGGATTCTTTTTCCAGCGGAAGCCTATTTCATTTTAAAAGTTTCCATAACGTACTTCGATCATTTCTGGGTAATCCTTATCATCTCGAACTGAGACAAGAACTTTATCCAATGTTGGAAATTCTTGTCTAAAGAAGAATTCATGCACTTTCCGTCGAAGTCCTTCTTTATAATGATATTCTATTTGAAATTTTGGTTTCCCTGGAGCATTACGTGGCATTTGAAAACTACCACATTTCTCTTCTTTAATAACTCTGTAAATCGTTAGATTTCCCCAACACCAAGTGTACTGCTAACTAAACTCAACGGTTTCATCAAACACTTTCACATAAAAGTTTGTCTGTAAATGATTTAAAACAATTAAATATTAATGTTTTTTCATTAACTGTTAAAGGACCAATTTTTCGGCGTTTACACGGCACTTACAAATTTTCCCATAACACTAGTATACACAATAAACTGCACCTTGCAACTGAAGAGTACCTACCTTTTAGTGAACTGTTAAGAATTTTGAATACGCACTTGGACCTTCCTACAAAATGGAAAAACCCACTATCACATTTTCTGATGGAATAAGTTTAGAAGGTAATTATCTAGTCAATTACTGTCGTAGATTCCTGGAATTAAAGAATTAAATGTTTGATTGTTGAAACCCTTACTTCGTGGAATGCACTCATTTCAGATAAAATAAAAACGTTTTATTTTATCTAAAGAATTAAACTTTATTTTGCAAATAGGTAGGTACTTATTAAACTTTTATTGGTTATATATAACCAATAAAATAAACATCTTACATTTCTTGCAAAATTCATTAGTACCTGTTAACCTCCATCACTCCGACACTGGCAACCTTATTTAGGGATTAGTAACCCTCACAACTATTGTATTCTATTCTGCTCCAACCTTTATACCTGGTGGTCATACTTCAATTTAAAATTGTTTTCCTTATACTTCTGTAATACTTGTTGACAAATATCTGTTTTTCATTGAGTCACCCGTATCAACAGTTTAGGGATTTGCATACATAATTTATTGTTTTATTACTCTCTCATAAATAAAAATACACTATAATTACTCGAATTAAAAATTTAGGGTCGACTCGAGCGTAGAAGAAAACAAGATAGGACTTCGTCGAGAGTGCGGGGGTCGTCAAAGTCCAAAAAGTGGGGTGAAGTGTCTTATTCTCTACTACTGCCCATAAGGCAGGGCTGTGTACTCTCGCCGATTCTGTTCAATATGTACTCTGAAGAAATTTTCACTGAAGTTCTTCTTCTTCTAGTGCCGTCTCACAATGAAAGGTTGAGTATAACCTTGCAAATTCGTCTCTATCCTTCCGCTTTTTCTTAAGAGCGTCTGAGTGTTTAACCCGGTCAGTCACGAATGTTTTTTCAGTCAGGATATTTATCGAATCGAATATTTAAGTGCTTTGTTTTCCTCCACCTTGCCTATGTGTTGAAGCCTGACAATGACAGAAGCAACACAAAAAAGAATCCAAGCATTCGAACTATGCTGTTACCGTAAAACGCTCAGAATATCCTACATGAGCCATACGACAAATGCGAAAGTCTTGCGGAGGATTAATAAGGAAAGAGAGCTTATGCTTATAAATAAAAGAACGGAAAACACAATATTTTGGTCACATCATAAGAAACTCTATTCTTGAGCGAATTTCTGATTAATCCAGACCCGTCATTTTGTCCACTTGCTCAATATCTTCATTTTTTATCTGGATCCTTGTACTTACTTTGATCCTCTTACTGATAACCATGGTTTTTGTTTTCTTTATGTTTATTGTTAAACCAAATTGTTCCCCAGTATCACAAATTGTGTTTAGTAAGTCTGAGTGTCATTTAGCGTTAATTGTATGTAGATAACGATGTTATTTATTTACCATTTATCTTGAATCCCTTCTGTACAGTTTTCAAGTGCTTGCGTAAATAACTCTTCGGAATATATTAAATAGTAATGGTGAAAGTACACAGCCCTGTCTCACTCCTCTGTTTAACTTTGTCGAAAGCTTTCTCATAGTCTATAAACCCAACGAAAAGATCTTTTCGTTGCGTAAATGTTTTTAATAAGTGTGACATTAAGCTGATTAATCTATAGTCATTACAGTATTTGGGGTTTTGGTTTTTGGTAGCGGAACAAAGGTCGATAGCAGCCATTCTGTAGGTATCTCACCAGATTTATATATGTTGTTAAAGAGTATAGTTATTGCACTTAAATTGTTTCGTCTATAAGTTTAAATCAGCTCCATATGAACTTCATCTGGCCATGGGCTCTGTCAGATTTTGAGTTGTTTATAGCATGTTGGACTTCAGATTTTAATATTATTGGAGCTTCCTCGTTATCAATTTGTATTGGTTCCGTTCTTGTGTCCATGAAAAGATCTTTAATATATTTAGTCCATACTTGTTTTATTTCAATTAGGTTATTAATAGATTTATTGTTTTTGTCTCAAGATAAAATTTTATTTCATTTTTTGTTCAAGTTTTTGTCTCATTTTTTGTTTCAGATAACTCTTTCACATTTTTATGTACATTATAATGATCTAGCTTTTTCTGCAATTCTTCCACTTCGATGCATGTTTCCATCATCCACTTTTCCTTGTCTCTTTTATTTTGTTCCTTATTAATTTATGTTTTTTTCTGTACTTATTCGGGTTTTTGTTTCTATATTTTCTTCCTTGTTCCATGATTTCCAGTATTTCTTGAGTCATCCAAGGTTTTCGGCTTTCAGTTTTTTTTGTAGAGTTTCTTTCTGTATTTTTATAACATAATCTTTGATTTTGCACCACATAATGTTCACATTCTCTATGTGAAGTACTGAAGTCCTAGAGATCGGAATCGGAATTAACGAAAAATACATCAAAAAGCTCCGCTACGCCGACGATACTGTGCTAAAATTATCTACAGAACGTACTGGACATCGTGAGCACTATGAGTACTGCTTAGACCTTAACTCACAATGACATATTAGGTTAGGTTAGGTTAGGTCTGTCCGCGTGTGTATGTGTGTTGTATATGTGTGTTGTATATTATGTGCGTGTGTATGTAACCTGAGAGGGGTATTGCCCGTTAAATCTGGGCATATACCCAGAGTGTTTGAGAAGAGGAATTACTTCGAGCGTGCGTGGTCTTCTCCAGAACGTCGAGTGATCCTCCAATAGTAGAGACATGAGATATGTACCCGTCAGGGGTACACCTTATTGATACCTTGCAGACTGTGTGTCAGAGCGAGTAATTTCCTGCATAGAGGTGACATAAGTCTGGAGGCGCCAAAGAGAAAAGTTCCAACAGGATGGTCCCATTTGGCGTTCTCTGGAGAGTATGGGGGTGGTGGTTTTAGCTGGTAACGAGCCTGGCATTGGACCTTCTGGCTCGAGTCCCGCACTGTTCTGTGGAGCCTTCAGCCCTGCAGTTCGGACATAAAAAAAAGTTAGGTTTGGTTAGGTTAGGTTAGTTAGCCCGACGATACTGTGCTAAAATTATTACAGAACGTACTGGACATCGTGAGCACTATGAGTACTGCTTAGACCTTAAACGACATATTAGGTCCAGAATCTAAATTTCCAAATCGTGCAAAATCCGAATAAAAACACATATATGTGATAACAAAACGTCAAAATACACTACAAAGATAAAAGTAGAAAGTTTACAAGATGACTCCAGAAGATAACTATTCCAAAAAAGAATAACCGAAAAAAGCAGAAACACATATATCACAAAAAGTGATAGAGTCGAAGAAAGCTGGGCAAAACTTAAGTCTAATATCTTAGCTTCGGCCAAGGAATTTCTTGGTGAAAGAAATATAAATAAAAATAAATCGTTCCCAAGGCGAAGAACTCCATGGTTTTGTACAGAAGCGAAGGAAATGAAAGTAAAGAAAAACGCTAGGACCTAAAATACATGTCAACCAAAACACAAGAGGCATACCATAATCATTACCAGACAATTAGAAACGAAACACATGCACATGATTAATTTAAGAAAAATAAAAAATGATCACTGAGAACGCTTGTCGAAAGAAATGGAACATGATTTTTACGTCTGCAAACGGAAATATGGCGCTTTATAAAAGGTCAAAGAACGGAGGTAAAGGATATAATAGAACGAAAACGCATCGAAACGGATACGTGGATTGACTAGTACACAGGTTGTTTTGAACATCTTATGTAATTAAATACTTGTGTTTGCGTGTTTCTTAAGTCGAGCGTTGTAATTATTTTCGCGTTCAGAGCTCAAAAGTTATTTAAAACCTAGGTCATAGTCTGTTCCATATCAAATTTATGTTATACATGGGACAAAAATTCTGCAAAAACTTACCCTAGTCCACTGTCATTTGAGTTGTCGCAAGGCTCAAGGTTTCTTCTGTAGGAGGATCTGACTTTGCCCGTCATTTCCCTTTGTCTGAGGGGTCCGTTGCATGATTTACCACTGGGCGGCCGTCCTGGTCGTCTGGTAGCCCTTGTTTGAAGCGTCGGTATCGTACAGAGTGTCATTTTTGGTTCATCTGTAACAATAAGAGATATTTTCGTTAATAATATGAAAGGCAAAAACAAACGATCAAGTGTGCAATAATTTTTCTATTACTATTTTAGCACATTCTAAAAAAAGTATCAACACAAGTTCAAAAAATTGCTGATACAAAGCTAATAATATGTATTAAAAAAATTATGAAATCTAAAAAACGAAAAAAAAGTCAAAAGTTATTTCAATTTGGAAAAAAAATAATATGGGTCCATTGACATCTGTTTATGACAGTTCAGAAACGCACATGCGATGCTTGCGGTATCTAAGAGAGCATTCCGAAGAATTAATAACATGAGTGTTGAGTGAGGATGAAATAAATAAAGTAAGCAAGAGAACTCGTCGACATCCAAAAACTTTAGATTTGCCCCAGTCAATTAAACTTGTAATTAAAAATATAATATATAATATGTATAAAGCCAAAATACATGTAACAGTTAGTATTGTGTTACAAAAAAAAAACAAGGAACTGTGTAAATTAGTTTAACAAATTTGTGGAGAGTGCTGAAACATTTAGGTTTTCGATATAAAAAGACAAATAATAGAGAAGTATTGTGTGAACTCTCTAATGTTGTTTCAAAACGGTGGCAGTTTTTTTTTAAATACATGAACAATAAAACATTTGATAGTCCGAGGCAAGTTGTATTTTTAGATAAAACTTGGAATTGATTTTCGCTAAAGGAAATATGTCAAAATCATCCAAGAAATGTTATTCTTCTAATCGTTCCGGTAATGGTAAACGTATACTTCATGCTGGAAATGATGAGGATTTTATTCCTGACGCTAGTTTAATTTTTTCGTCCACAAAGAATACAGGTGATTACCAAGGAAATATGGATGCAAATATTTTTGAAGAATGGTTTGAAGAAAATTTGTTAAAAAAATTGAAGCGACCATCCATAATAGTGTTGGATAATGAATCCTATCACTCAAGAGTACAAGAGAAATTTCCTTCAAGCAGCTGGACAAAAGAAGAAATAAAGTTGTGGTTGACAGAAAAGAAAATTTATCACAGTGACATATTTTTAAAAGTCGATTTACTTCGAAGGTGTGAGAGCACAAAATTCAAAAAAAAATTGTTACTGACTAAATGGCTCTTAAATATGGCCATGAAGTTCTTCGACTTCCGCCCTACCATTGCCACTATAATGCAAATGAGTTAGTTTGGGGTATAGCCAAAAACTTTATGATAAACATGCATCCAAAACAACAGATGACGATAGAGTTCTTAGTTTATGGAAAGAATCGCTAGAACAAATAAAGGCAGAACAATGGCAAAATTGTATTAGACATACGGAAGACATAATCGTTCAGTCTTTTCAAACCGAGCGAGTTATAGATGAGGTCCGGCCTCTAATTATTCGGATAGACAATTCAGATAATGACGACTCTGATAGTGAAATATCAGACAGTGAATAGGATCGTTTGCTAAAAAGAAGTAACAAAAAAGTAGTTTCGGGAATTCAATTCCGGACTTTGTGGTGTGTTTTAGTTAAACGATAAAGTACCTTCGGTCTAATTACTGGACTGCATACTCTCAATAGCTTTGGTATTAATTACTGGACTACACGTGTTTAAACATTTTGGTTTGCTGAAAACTCGGAAGTGGTTTAGTGCCAATTTGTTTCAAGGTTATATTTAATACAGTGTCTGCAGAAAGTAAAGTATTGGATGTATTTTATTCAAATTTGGACATACCAGCAACTTGGCAAGTATTTTCCAATTTAACTGCATGCAAAACCATTCGTATAATTTTCACTCTACGCAAAATAGAGACTTATAGAGACCTTGATGAACATTAGATGTCGACAAATAATTTCGAGTATTCGAAATATTCCGTCCCACTTCTATTAACACGCCCTGTATATACATATTATCTTAATTTTATTTGTCTTTGATATAGTATAATCCAATATTATTACTGAACATAAAATACAGGAAATTAAATATTTTACCCCCACTGTTTGAGGCCCACTGATCATATCTTAATCACATATCAGCCGTCATAGGCTAAAAGGTTTATATTTAGATTTTATAGGTATAAATAAAGTACATATCGGATCATAAAAAAAAATAGAACGCAATTAGTCATTGTGGATATTCGAATAGTATTTCGCAAGTTAGCGTAGGTCGATGTATTGTTTATAAGTTCCGGCTGACAATGTAAACACAGTCGTTAACCTAATGTAAAGAAATAAAATAGTGTTAAATAGAAGTAGTGACAAATAGTTAATGAACCCTCAATCATCCCTCCAATACCACACCCTCGATTATACATGGTCAGTCAAAACAACAAATTAAATCAAAGTGGTGTTTTTTTAAAATGGAACAAAAACGGTATTTTTTTAAAACATGAAGAGTTTGTGTAAGGTTTACAATAGAATTCAAACTAGCGAATGAGATATATGACAAGAGTGACAGACATTACAATACTTAATAGTCACAGAAACGAATAGTCGACATCTACTTGATCGTTGAAATAATAAAAGAATGCAGAATAAAATGGAAATAACATACAGAAAAAAGTTGACAAAAGGTTATGATAGAATTGGCAACAAATGACTAAAAGGCTAGATTGATAGACAATAAAAGAAGAAGAATGAAAAGAAGGGCAAAATATATACAGTGTGATTAATTTTCGTACATTTATCATGTATTATTGAAATTTAAACAGTGTTAATGGAGTTACGTTACAAATTGACACCGGTTTATTTGCCCAAATAAAAAAATATCCATACCACCTTTACAATACAAAAATATCAAAAGATACACATCTAATCTATATTAATTACTCATAAAACTACTATCATAATTAACAAATTAATATTTGCTATTATATTATCTTTTTTTGTCTCACTTATCGTACAGTTGTTAAAAGATGACGTGGCTGTTTACAAAACTTTATCAGGAATTGTTCAAATAACTGCTTCGAATTTTTTTTTTGATAGTTTAATCCAGTTTAATGGTTCGTAGATGCTTTAGGGGGTACTTGAGAAAAGTAAATTGTTCAAAATCAAAATAAATATTATCGTAGATTGTTCGTATGTGGTTCAACAGGTAAAAGTCATCAGACATAACAGCCTGTCAACGATTCAACTGAGCATATACAAGGGGTGATCAAATTATTAGAGCCACCTAGTAAAATTCATTTTTTTTACAAAAAGGGTATATAATTGAGCTGTATAATATATTAATGTGTTTGTTTCATTATCGCATACTCGTTACACCAGTGGTACCAGAACATCATGGAAAAGCCAAAGACATCTTACCAAGGAGAAAAGCGGAAATAAAATTTTTATTATCTCCAACAGAAAAACAGCATCTCTCTCTCTCTCTCTCTTTGTCAACCATTTTCCATCCAGTCCTGAATGTAGGTCTCTCCCAATTGCTTTCATCTTTCTCTATCTTGCGCCAATCTAATCCACTGGTTGCCTGCCACTGCTCTTATGTCATCTACCCATGTTTTTTGAGGTCTTCCCATGCTTCTTCTTGTAGACTCCATTCTAGAATTTTCCATGTCCACCTGTTGTCATTATTTCGGGCTACGTGACCTGCCCAGCGCCATTTCATTTTTGTAATTTCTTCCACAATATCCTAATCTTCGTTCTACGTCTTATCTCGGTGTTTCTAATCTTGTGTCTCAGTGATATTCCAAGCATGATTCATTCCATTGCTCTTTGCGTTGTTTCCAATTTTTTAGCAGATTTTTTGGTAAGGGCTACTATCTCCAAGCCGTAGGTAAAAACTGGTAGTATGCATGTGTTATACACCTTTTTCTTTAAGTTTACAGGAATGGAGATGTTTTTCAAGATATATGCTAGTTTGCCGAAAGCGCCCCATGCCAGTTGTGTTCTTTTAATTTCAGCATCTTGATTTGGTTTTCGTTGTTTGATGTCATGACCTAGATATCCATAATGTTCAACATTTTCAATGGTATGATTTTGTATTGTTATATTTGTCTGGTCTCGGCTCAGTATTTTTGATTTACTGTAGTTCATTTTTAAGCCTACCGCTCCTGAAACTGCATTTAACTGTTGTAACATATCATTTAGTTCTTGGATATTATCGGATATTAAAACTATGTGATCTGCGAATCTCAAGTGGTTTAAATATGATCCGTTGACGTTGATTCCCTTGTTGTTCCATTCTAGTTTCTTAAAAATGTCTTCTAGAGCAAGGGTAAATAGTTTGGGAGAGATGGTGTCTCCTTGTCTTACTCCCCGTTGTAGTCTTATGGGATTAGTTTTTGTGCTTTCGTCCAGCTTTATCTGCATGGGCATTTTCATATGTTTTGAATTTTGTTAGTGTATCTTGAATCAATACGTGCATTTTCTAGAGATTCAAGCACTGCCCATAATTCGATAAAATCGAATGGTTTATGGAAATCGACGAACGTCATATGAATTGGAACATAGTACATGGTGCATTTTTCTAAAAAATCGCATCAATTTCTAAAATTTCTAGGACAACTGTGGACGATAAAGAAAAATCTTGACGAAAATTTGGATTTGATCCCACAGCGCAAACAAAAATGTGGCCGAAAAAAAAATTACGCACAAAGACACCACAATATGAAAGAAAAATTCGAGCTCTTGGCAAACAGAAAACAAACTCGGAGGATTTTAACGAAAATGATGCAGGATTTTGCATCAATCGTTGACCAATGACAACTCGTCGGTGAATAAAGGATCTGGGGTTTTCAACCGATCGCCCGGCAAAAAAGCTGTACTCACACCAGCCATGAAGAAAAAAAGGCTTTAATGATACTTCATTTGATTGAGGTCTAATATTTCTAGAATATCGCAGAAGTCGGTGCTGATTTCTGGAACTTTGCGAAAAAATTTGGATCTTTTTGACGAATACAATGACGAGGTTCTGAGGAGCACCAGAGACAACTGAAACACGTCGTTCGAAGAATAGCCAGCTGGCCTGGACAACAAAATGGCCGAAGGAGGTTCAAATTTTATGTGCAGAGTTTCAGTTGGAA